TTGATGATGTAATTATACTTAGATTCTTTAAAACCACAATCGAATAATGAATTTGGTAAGGTCTAAAAATTAATCAATTATAAGTCTAATACAACAATAATTGTATGAATTTAATATTAATATAATTATTTAATAGGTTATAGTTATACCTACTTCAAAGTTATTAGTAACCTGCGTAGTTGCTCGTCTATAGTAAAATATTAATTGTAATAAAAAACGTATATAATACCTAATGTAATAGTTTAATTTAAATTGAACATGTCAGCATTAAACCACGATAAAATTTTATTTTATTCTACAAACGTTGAATAATTATTATTTGGTATAAAATAAGACCAAAACAAATTTCTAGTTTTCTTTATAATTTTAGTGTGAATTCAGTAATTTAAATAATATGCAAAATATAATACATTAAACGAAAATATAAAATAATAATTAATTTAGAAACATATTGTTATTGTAACGCATTGATACAATATAGTTTCTTAAGACTGACTATATCAAATATCAATGCAAATGCTGTAACTAATACATAAAACAATTTATTTAGTCCGTTAATTTTGAAATACGATATTATGTTTATAACGCATTTGTTTTTATTATACATAAACAGTTGGAATTTAAATAATTTTCAAGTATAATGTTAAATACTAGTGCGGAACATTACATTTTATTTGTTTGTTACTTAAACTGTTATTTCATATTAGATATATTTTTTTATTTTTTTATCAAACTTGATTATTTAAAGACTTGATGCATTTATGCGTAGTATATATTATAATATAATAATAATAATAATAATAATGCATAATAAATAATGCATTATAATAATGATAATGCATTTGGGGCTATTGAAATACGTATACCTATACATTTTAAATATTTTCACGATTGTAAATCGATGACATATAATTATAATACACTTTATCCACATAATATATAAGTATTATTGTTATTAGAAACGATAATTTTTTTTTTTTTAATAAAAGACAATAGAATGACTTAATAATCATAATTCATTATTATTTATGTTTATCCAATGTATCAACCAATTAGGTATATAATATTAAGATTTTGTAACAGGTGACATGCGATTTACATTTTATTGAACGAAATATAGCATTTGGATCAAGTTCATATCGATAAAGAATGGTATTCTAAAACACAATCTATATTCATAGTATAAGCATTTTTATTCAATAATTACCGATAGATACTCGGAAATAACAATGAATGTAAACAAATTGCCGTTACTCATTAAATTATAATATCACGATGTTATATTTTGCTTTAATTTTAAGACAATATACCTACCTAATTGTATACATTTGTTATTGTCAACAATTATGATATATCAATATATGATCTGTAAGTATTGATCAAAATACAAAAATATAATTAATAATTAATTGGTTTATTAATGAATTAAAACTGTAGTAGATAACTATAGTTTTAAATAATTACACCAAATCAATAAACTACATTAACTCTCGATGTAGTTTGTATTACTCATTCATAGCTGTTTTAATTAACCCAATGAGGTCATTAATACACGGGCTTTAAAAATTGGTAAATTATACCATAATAAATAATAGGCACATAACAATAAATTACAACATAACAATATTTAGTGATCCTGGTCAAAAAATATTAAAATTTTAAAGAAAAATATTTTAACTAGATTTTTTTTGTTACTAATTAAATATACAGGTTTAACATATACTATAATATTTTAATACTACGCAATATTTTAATTACTAACATTTAATGAAAATTAATAAGCGATTTACATTTTATAGAGGTAAGACTAAAAAATAATAAACTATAATACACTTATTATAGTTACTAAAGTAGGTATAACATATAAATGTATAAATTATACAAAGTCATCTCAATAGTTGGTACCTATAATAAAATTAACTTTAAGGAAAACATATACTTGTTGATTCATTAACGATTTATATTGTATTTATTATTTATGAATATCTAACAAATACAAGATTTTTTATCAAAACGTCAAATTGTAAATAATTAAAATCAGTAATAAAGAACCCTGATAACAAATTATATTATATTATTGTTTTTTTTATATTTTTATAAAATATGTTCAAGTACCAATGAAATAAATAACAATGAATTAGTTTTTAAATCACGTAAAATATCATTTTCAAAAATAAATTCAACATAAAATTAATAATATTTAACGTATATTCGTATATATACGTTTACTATTCGTATTAGTATAATACAGAGTTTTTTTTTTTTTAATACAAATCCATAAATGTTAGTATTAAAGATATATAAAACTCAATTGTATATTAAAATCCTCCACATTACAATTACTTATAAAACTTATTATTTGTTATTATTAAATAAAGTCTAAATAAAATCGTGATTTACAAATTTGGAATTGACATTGTTTTTAAAAATATTTATTTAAGTTACCATAAACTATTATAAATTATACTATATACAGTGAATAATTCCAAAACAATAGGTGGACGAAAATATGATGAAACACAAATGTTATACATTAATTTACGTAATACAGATATCCCGTAATAGGCCAACGTTCAAATATTTTTAAAAGTACCTATAGCATAATGAACCTTGAAATAGTTAAGCGAAAATATAACCCATGGATATATTCGACAAACAACGATATTTTTAAATACAACAGCGTAGTTTTTATATTATATAGGTATTTGTTACTCGTACGAAATGAATTTGAATTATTCAATCGAATACAACACTATAATGTGTATGTAGTTTAATATTATATCTGCTTAAAATTGAGTAATCTATAAACACACATTAAATTCGTCGCATAACAAAAGGGATGTTCGCATATTTTATGAGGATATTTGAATATGAGATTTTCTTTAGACCAATTACACCTATACAGCTTTATGTTCATTGAAACGTGGCAGTAAAATCATATTTTAAAGTACAGTGAACATTTACTTTATCTTTATACTGCAGACAATCTCACAGGTGATATTGTTAACACGGTTAAAAGGTGAACGATGATATACATTATACATTTATACCTACATATAATTATTGCTGATACGGTGATACCTAAATGGCTACATTGCTTATTTATTGAATATTTTTGACAACAAAATAAGAAATTGATAACGTTTCTAGGTATACTGCAATTATCACTTACGAAAACAACCCGAGTAGCTTATTATTTCCAAGACGAAATTTGAATATTAAGGCAACTTCAACATGGTATAATACATAATATATCATACAAAAATATATTATTTTATTTGTATACATGATCTCGTCGTCGTCGTTTTTACTATCACGTAATAATATTATAATATATTGACGGATGCGATGTTTTTGTTTTTCCATTAGCTCTGAAAATACTCGTATGGTAACTAAATTATATTATACACAACTGTAGACCGGAAACAAACACCGCAAGAGCCTGGAAAATAGGGAATACTCATAAATGGTCTGTAAACAAATAACCGAAGAGAACAAAAACGTAGTGCCTTTAATAATAACGCGACGCAAAAGAAAAATAAATAGGGTCGGTATAAAAACTTCGTCGCGCAGTAAAGTCGACCTCAAAACACAAAAAAAAAACAAACTTAATGTAGTGAAATTTAATATATACGCATATTTGTCCTTGAAACTATACACAAACGTAAATAGCGTTATTTATGCGAGCACACGCCGCCGACAGACGGAATATCAACACGGCAATTTTCCACCTGTATCCAGACTCCGGTATTTGCGCCGCGTTCGAAGTATAACGGCCGGAGGCCAAGGGCGCGGCGCGTCAACGACGGTTTTGAAAATTTCGAAAAAACAACACTTGGACTTGAATATAATATAATATACACGGTTTTATACCACATTTTATAAAATATAATATATATATTAGCATCGGCGTCTGAGACAGACTCGTCACACAATGATGATAAATAATAATACATTAGGTTGAAATGTTACATAACATGTCCCTCACACACACAGTTACACGTTATTCATTCAACGCGTGTAACGCGTACACTTGTCTGGTTCTGTTTTAATTCAGTCGGGATATTTTCGAACTCGCGGTTGAAATTAATTCCAAAAATACGCTTTGAACGTACACTATTATTGTTATTATTACAACGATACCTACACACGCGCCACTGATACTGCGTTTTCATTTTCCCCAGTTTTTCTACGTAGTTCCGACCGACGCCGAATGGACGTGGAGGACACCGCACGCGCCGGGTAATAATAAAATTGCAGTATAGCACCGACTGCGTCGTTACATCCGTTTATGCGTAAACGGTACGACGGTCACAGCGGCACTGCGTTTGTGCCCGATTACGATTGTTTCACTGCAGGCGACCGACGACCGAGTGCGCCGCTAGAATTTATTAAATTACCTATACCTACTCGCGTGTTGCGCGCCGCTAATTACTTACTTATTAAGCATCAAAAACGTTTATATATACATATATGTGTGTAAGAGCAAAGTAGAAGTGTATAATAATGTCGTTGTTTTAATTATCATTGTGCACGCTTATATTGTGTATAATACGACAACGAAAATAATTTTTACCAACTGACGGACGCCGTCTGGACACATTGTATCAATATAAATAAGAGAGATTTTCGGAGTGGCTACGTTATTATTATTGTAAGGGGACGTAATGGAATGGACGTATGCTCACAAATCTTCCGAACATCCGAAAACAAACACACTACACACGCCGATGCGACGGATATCGATAACAATAATAAATAGTAATTATCACCACCGACACCAGTACACCGCCTATCTACAATTCGTGTAAACTCGCCAACCGACAAACCTAACGATACAATGCCTACTACTATTTTGTCTATATTTAATTATACCATCAATGAACCGGGCACCAAAGTACCCACATGTGATAATTTATTTTACGCACGTATACGTTGTGTTTTGGCATTTTACCGAGCTGGGGGACCCGTAGCTTGGCCGACAGACTAATGGTATTTACCTTTTTTGTTTAGATAATTCTTGACGCATTTCAGGAACTCCGGCAACCGGAATGTGTGCATCGTTCTATTAAACCGGTCATAAAAAATGTCCGTGACTATTACGATTGTATTATTTACTTATTTATTTATTTTATTATTTTTTTTTTTTGTGAATATCTCTGTTGTGTGCTGTACCTACTGATTATTTATTCATTAAACTGTATTAAATTATTTTCACAAGTATTACTATCGAACTGGACCCGTTGTCGTGATACGGCTCGAAACGGACGGTCTCGGATCGCGTGAAACGTCGACGCACATTAGAGACTACCGCGATATGGTACACAAAACGATAAACAACACTAAAATATGTATATTCTAAAAAAAAAAAACAAAAAATAATAATAATAAAATTATTATAAATAATATTAACGATCGTTCGAAAATAATAGATACGAATAGAGTTTATAAAATAAAGAAAAAGATTTAGAGAGAGAGCTGCGTGTTTAAGTACCGCACGCCAGATTCAGTGTTCAGCGTCTAACCGTCGGTAACAAACTGAACCGATTCCGAAGTCGAACTAAGCAGTGAACGGCGGCGGCGGTGGCAGTAGTGGCGCGCGGCGAGCGGACGCGTATGTGTTTTTGTAACACACGTTAGAACACGAGAACGTATGCAGCCGGAGGTCGGATGGAAAAGGGTTACCCGCAACGAATACTCCGCAAGATCTTCGCACGCGCACTTTGGCGTCTGTTTGGTTTATACCTCGTGGATGGTATATGCTAAAAAAACCCGCCGCCGACTATCCAACAACTCGCTAGTTATATCGATATAATATACACTAATCACACCTAACACTATTATTGTATCTTTAATATTTTTATTTCCCAACGAAAATTGCTAACCAGTCGACGATTAGGAGGTGCGCACGCCAAATAATCGTGTGGAAAAAAAAAATGAAAATCTACTAGACGTTAACTTTTAAGTTTTATTACATTGTGCAGAATAACTGTACGAGATATAATATGCCTACATCGATGTATACAAAATATTCAAATATCGTGTAAATTAATTATCAATTTATCTATTGAGAGATATTTATTGCATTTCGTAATTCTTATATCGACAAGTACAACTCATAACTTTATATAATACATATTAAGTACATGTATAAATGTAATAATGATTAAATTTTTGTCCAATTGTATTAAGTACTGTATTTATTTTTCAGGCATAAATCGACATTTCGACAAAAATAATTGAAAGTTTTAAAGATTATTTGTGTTAAAAAAGAATCTCTTTTTTTTTGGTAAATTACTCCACATTTTTACTCATGTTCTATAGCTCAAAATATCTCACAAGTCAGTATGACTCATGATTTTACAATAAAAACCGTATGTATAGAAAGTAGAAACACTGCTGTTGCCGATTACTCCGAGTGCTAAATCCCAAATATCTTTATAGGTTGGTATAATAATTTATAATAATCTTATAATGTGATATTTCCAATGCTCTTTTATTAGAAACAAAAATTTGATATTTTTATTTATAAGAGAGAGAAAGCGCCAAATGGTAGCCTTCGTCTTCACAGTGCCAAAATCACAATAATATAGTACATTTAACATAAGTATCTACCATAGCACCGATTTTAATTTTATCAGAGTTTATGTAGAGTCAATTTTTTGGCTACAATAATTTTCTATCCTTTGTGTATCATATTTTTATCTTGAAAGAATGAGAAATGAAGGTAAACATCTAGTGTCCAGGTTCGTTATTAAAATATTATTCATTGTATTTCTATTTATCTGTGTTTCTAAAATTCTATAGAATATACCATTCTTCCAGCCAGAATGTCGATCTTAATTCTGAATTCATAATTATATCTGAGAAATACATTAACAAGATAAACTTTGTATTGGTAGTTCTTAGAATACCGTAACAAACTACTAGTATAGAATTAAACCATAAATTATATTATGATAACTACTGGACTTTATAAAATAAAACATTTTTTTATTCCCTAAATATTTATTATTTACCTAAGAAAAATAAATTAATATTAAAATTAAATTAGTATTACCAAGAATTGTTAACAACGTTTTTCAAAGACTTAATTAATATCACGATTGGATTTAAATATTTTATTAATAATTTTATTCGATGAACAGCTAACAAGGCTAAACAAGAATATTGTTTATTCATTCATCGTACTCATTTAACACAATAATACTATAATGTTGTAATTTTTGTTGAAATACATTTATTTCCAGATGAAAAAAATACAACATTGAATTGAACTGTAATTTGTATTTTTTTTTTTATCTTATCAGAAAAACCGTTTAAAATGTGTTTATATAATTAAATTGATTTCATGAAACATGTGATTTTACTTCATTAATCATTTAACTTATTTATTGAGTTTTCATTGATGAAAAATAAAACTTATTTCATTTTTGAATTATTATTTATATAATTGAGTATTGTCTTTTAAAATGATTATAACCAATTAAATATATATGTATAATAATTAATAACTCATAAGTAATAAGAAACCGGAACATATTGATTATTCATCATTCCTAAAGTAATTTAAATTGTTGAAATAGTTTTATAATACACGAGTCAAATATAATTCAAAGTGAAAAAAATATATATTAATAATTAATAAATAATAGTATTATTTATAATACTTTGTTATTCAGGAAAAATTCAGTGCCAAACTAATATAATATTTATTTTTAATACATTTTTTACACACACAAAGATAATATCATAATATTATTAATAATACACATTACACAATAATAGGTACAATAAACCTATAATCCTGACATGATCATTTTAGCTTATAATTATTTTGAATTTAAGTTTTTGATTATTTAACTATTATGTAATATTGAAGTCAATGTCTACCGAGACTTCTATTTATGCACTTTTGGACAGTAAAAAAATTACCAATGAAACGTAATTTTGTATGTAAAACTGACAACTGTGAAGTATAAATTTTAAATAATCAAAGTAGTAATGTACAAATCTCGTTTTTTTTCTTTCTACAAACTAAACATTTTCCATAATACGGAAACAACGTGTTTCGAAAAAAAAAATCAATATACCTATATCTTTAATTGTAGATACATAAATGCGTGTATTAAAAAACCTTGTGCCTTATAAAGTAATAGAAAAAAAAATTGTCAATATAAAGTAATGTAAAAAATAGATGAATACATAATTTTAAAAATCACAACGTAATTGCGATGTAAAATATAAATACTAATGTAATATTCACACATACGTCATGTACTAATACATATTGTTATTTTTTTTATTTCAATCGACAATCGGCGAGAATTGAGCAACGATCTAATGATATTATATGTATTACATTAACGCATCATCATTCACCATAACACCGAGCGGCAATATCAAATTCACAATATTGCGCTTCAAATGCACACCTAATATTATAATACTACTATATATTTACCTACATATTATTATTTTATTTGTAGATAATAAAAATTTACAGGCGTGACCAAGGACTGTAGATAACAATTTTTTTTTTTTTATTATTATTATTATTCTTTCCCCATAACACATACACGCATACACATCGACCGTCATCATAATCATCATAATAATAATAATCTTAATCATCGTCATCGATAACAACGATGGTGATCATCATCGAAAACATTAAAAACGATAACGGAAAAACAATGTGGTATTTATTAACCAAAACCGTGTAGATTTCACTTGTCGTTTTTATGAATGAACGAGCGGCAAAGTGCCTTCCCTCCACCGGCCGCACTATAATATTATATTATTATACTATTATTAAATAACGCGATGATTGGATGGGATAGGGTGTGATGGTAGTGATGACCGGCCTACGATGTGTGTGCGAGAAGTTATAATAATAATAAATATATATTATAAAATTTAATTAATGATCCGCTACAAAATGTAAGCATTCTAACGTGTCTTATAGTGCATTGTTTTTTTTTTTTTAACTATTTTTTATTATCCGATTGCTGCTGTGCTTTGGTACATTTTCCGGACATTGGCATCATATGGCCGACACGAAAAAAAACATATGCACGTGAATATAATACATACTAGATAGGACGCTGCAGTGCACACAACAACAATATTATATTGTTATTATTATATTATCTGTATTACTATAATAATATATATATATATATATGTGTGTGTGTGTGTGTATGTATTCTGCATAATATTGTATAAAAGCAGTGTATTGTAGTAAAAATTCATTGCAAAGTTCATAGTTTTTAATTTATTTTTTAAACTTATTTTATACACACCGTAAGCTGTATTTTCGTATTTATTTATACTTCATACTTAATAGTATTGACTATTGCTATTACTAAGATTTTCCAATTTTCGGATTTCATAATAATTATTATCATCGTATATCGACGAATTTGGCATCGGTTAATATGGAGGAATATAAACGATTTCGTCCGAAACACTTGATGAGTCAGAGAGAGGCTATGCATCCCATAATATACATATATTTAAATATATCTACCACATAACCTTTAGTATTAATGCTTAAGAATATTTATAGATATAGAAACATAATTCTTCAACTTACCATGCTTCCTGCGGGATGACATCCATTGAATTGGCGGAGACGGCAACGAGCGGCTCCTGCTGGACGAAGGATCAACAATAGTAGCTGGAAATATATCCCCGGAAAAGAATCCGATATCTAAAAACAGATCAAATTTTTATTAATAAAATATTATAATGTATTCATAATGAAATAAAATCAAATTTAAAACAAAAAAGTTCGTGAGATTTAATTACTGTTTTAGATAAAAATAATATTTTTAATAAAATGAATATTTATTATTTTATTTACGAGTATATTAAATAACGAATCAATGCATACAAAAATCAATTTCATATAAGTACTTTAGTTTTTAATGAAAATATAGTTTTATTTTAATTCAAGTTTTGTATTAAAACGACTAGACACAACAAAATGCATGTATTCAGCAATTTAAATTATAATTTAGTATTTGAGTTAATAACTTATTACTTTACAAATAATATTATGTCATAAGAAACATACTAGGAAGAACAAAATATCAAAACAATAAAATTGTATTAATCCAACTAAAATACGCTATCATAATATTCATATAGTTAAACAGGATTAAATAAAGATAAAATATAATATGAAATAATATTGTTTAGTATTCGACGATTAAATACTACGCAATAGGCAACTTACACAAATAAGACAATGATCTCGAGAGACTAATTTGTACTTGACGTACTAAAATAAATAAGTACATCTTTTATGAAATCCGAATAATATATTATAAATTATACTATTTATTTTGTATTATTAATTAAATAGGTAAGTGGTGAATTACATTCGTATGAATTTACACAATATTGTCAATAAACTTAAAACAACTATTGGATATTTGTTATAGATAACAAATTTCAAAAAAAAAAAATAATCAGCAGCTACGCTGACCTAATATTTACATTTAGAAAAAAAAATCATTATTAAACTCCA